GGTTCCAGAGACAAAAGGGAAATATAACCACCAGCTAAGGAAGAAAAGGTGGATGGAGCCTCAAAGTTCAGTCAAACACTCCCACTGAATTCATCCACACAAACACCTTGCAATCCAGAAGGCAGAAAACACCTAACTGAACACAAAGGCATGCAGCTTCAACTCAAGACCAGTAAAAATGTTAATGTGGACCTCTCTTCCTGTTCATCTCAATGCCCCATTCAGTATGAAGCAGCCAGAAAATTTGCACCCAAATGGGAAACACACAAATAAAAAATGACAATCTCTTTGTTTAAAAAAAAAAGGAAAAGAAGAAATGAAAATTAATCACCATAGGACTACACCCATCATTACTCTGTCTTTTCTGGTCCCTACGAGATCATTCTCATTTCCTTTACCCACTACCTCCACCCACCAAATTGTGCAATCCTGTGGTTTCATCCCTATCCATCCTCACCCTTCTGTTCCCACCCTTTACCTACTTGTTGGATTCCCAAACATATTTTTTACAATAAAAAAGAAAGAGGGGAAGGTATGGAGAGAAGACACAGCCTTGGTACACGCTTTTCTTGATGTTAAACCATACAGTGTTCCCTTGCTCTACTCTCAGAATAGCTTCTTAGTCTAGGTAAAGGTTTTATATAAGCATGATTAAGAGTTCACATATGCCCATTCTCAATGTTAGCTACAGTTTATTAGGATCTACACAGTTAAATGTTTTTGCATTGTAGTTATTAAGTGCAATCAAGTCAAGTATGGCCCATAGCAACCCTATGCACAACAGATCTGAACCCTGTCCTATCCTGTGCCATCCTCACACTTCCTGACACATTAGAGCCCATAGCGCCAGTCACCATGTCAATCCACCTGGGTCTAGGGTGTTCCTCTCCTTTGCCGACTTTCCACCTTTCCAAGCATCATGTTTCTCTCCAAGGAGTAGTCCCTCCTAGCAACATGCACAAAGTATCTTTCCAAAGAGCACTCAAGACATACTTATTTGTTCTTTTGGCAGTCCATGGGATGTTCAGTACTCTTCTCTAACACCACAGCTGAAAGGAATCAATTCTTGTCATCCTTATTCACTGTTCACAGCAAGTGATCAAAAAGACTATGACCCAAATCAGATGCACCTTAGTCCTCAAACTGTTATCTTTATTCCTCAAAATTTGGTTTGGAGAAGTACCTAACTGCAGACATTCCCACTGTACTACGTCTCCAGATTTCCTGACTGCTAGTACCAAGGATTTTGACTGTGGATCCAAGTAAGATGAAGTTGCAGCTGTTGAAGTTGCAGCTGCTCCACAGGAGGACAGGCAATCCCTTCCCACATGAATAACGGAAAACCCTGTTATGGGTCAGTTCTGACTTTACGATACATACAACAACATCATGATGTTGCTTATCCGTCTAGTGTTAAGAATCTTAGTTTTCTTGACACTGAGATGCAATCCATACTGAAGGCTATATTCTTTGATCTTCTGTAACAAGTTCTTCAGGTCCTCCTGTCAGCAAGATTGTGTCACCTGCATAACATAGGTCATTGTTAAGTCTCCCTCTTATCCTGATGTCACATTCCTCTTCATGGAGTCCAGCTTCTTAACTAATTTGTTCAGCATAAAGACTGAATAGGTGTGAAGAGAGAATAAAACTCTGACACAATCCCTTCTTAATTTCAAACCATATAGTGTTCCTATAGGGAGCTCTGGTGGCCTAGTGGCAAGAAGCTGCATTACAGTTCACGAAGGCACACAGTTTGAGTCCACCAGCTACTCTGCAGAAGGATAAGCAATCTCCTCCTGCGCAATTAACTGTTCTGAAACCCTGTTGGAGAGTCAGCTTTGGGTTGTTTCCAACTGTATGATACACAACAACATTACAGTATTCCCTTGCTCTGTTCACGGTATAGGTTTCTGCATGAGCACAATTAAGTGCTCTGTGACTCCCATTCTTCGCAATATTAGCCATAACTTGTTATGATCCACACAGTCAAATGCCTTTGCATAGTCAAGAAAGCACAAATAGGCATTCTTCTGATATTCTTTACTTTCAGCCAGATCTGACCTCAGCAATGATATCCCTGGTACCATGGCCTCTTCTAAATCCTGCTTGAACTTATGGCAGTTCCCTATGTACTATTCTAGCAGTTTTTTAATGATCATCAGTAGTATTTTACTTACAGGTGATAATGATAGTGTTTGAGAATTTCCACATTCTGTTGGATCATCTTTCTTGGCAATGTTGTTATGTGTTGTTGAGTCACCTGCAACTCATAGTGGCCCTATGTACAGCAGCTCTGAAGCCTGCCCTGTACCGAGCCAGTCTCACTAATTCCTACATACCCACCACCATTGCCCCAGTTACTGTATAAATCCATTTCACCCAGGTTCTTGCTCTCCTGCACTGTCCCTCCACCTGATGAATATGATGTTCTTCTCCAAGGACTGGTCTCTCCTGGCCATGTGCCCAAAGTATGTGAGACAGAGCTTCAAAAGCCTAGCTTCCAAGAAGAAACTTAGTTTCACCTTCTCTAAAACAGACCTATTTGTTTTCTTGGCAGTCTATGGTATATTCAAGATACTTCTCTAGAACCACAATTTGAAGGCATCAATTCTTCTGTCATCCTTAGTCATTGTCCAGTTCTCTGATGCACAGAAAGTAATTGTGAATACCATGGCCTGGATTAGGCACATCTTATAGTCTCTAGACCGACACAGTGTTTTTCACATCTCTGGCGAGGTCCCTAACAGTACATTTTCCCCAAAGCAACTCAGTGTCATAGTATTCAGCTTCACAGCAATCATATATGGAAGTTAAAAAAAATCTTAAGTAGCTTTAAATAATTAAACTGCAAAATATGACCACTCAGACCCCAGTACCAGTAAGGAAGAATTGCCAGGAGTGGAGTTCCTCCTTTTGGATTCGGATCTCCTCTGTTTGAGGAAGCTCCTTGAGAACAGTTAAGGTCAAGACACGTGGGTATCTCCAAGGAACAGTAGCTGTACAGATGCTGAAGAAGACCTTCCTCCATAGATAACAGAGAGAAGGAGTGTGTGCATAAGGGAACCTTCCTTTAGAGCTGACACACTGAATTTGGATTTCTGCCCTCTTAAACCGTAAGAGAATAAATTTGGTAAAGAAATATACACACACACACACACGTATGTACATATCTATACATGATTGTTCTACCATCCTAATTTTAGTTTTTAGAAAACTAAATTGCTTTTTGTTTTCCAGGCTCAGACTAAATTTCCTACTATAAAATTTTTCATAATTTATAAATCCAATTGTGAGCATCATCACCTAGCAAAATTACAGGTAGAGATATAAAAGACAGGAAAGCTACTATCCCTCACTGAAGAAATTTCACTAAGCCCAGTGGCTAAAAGAATGCGACTCTAGGTAGAACTGAAGGGAAACATTGCAAATTTATTCAGAGCTCCATACAAGCAATGAAACAGCAAGCTTTCATACACAGATTACATTTGTGCCACTTGGAATGTTTTAAAGCTTTAAAATTTCATTTATGCTTGATGAGTAACTTGAAAATAAAAACCCTAACTCCCTGACTAGGTATAATACTTTCTTCTTAGTATTTATCACAACTATTATTGACACTTTAAAGAAATACTACACAGAAAAATGTTTCCTCACCCACCCCCAGGCTGTTAGTTACAAAAGACCAAGAGTTGTTAAGTCTTGCTCACAATCCCTTGTCATGTACAGTCAAGTCAGAACCAACTCATAGCTCAACCTCCTGTGGGTTTTCAGAGGCAGTAAATGGCACGGGAGGAGACTGCTCATCCTTCTCTCATGGAGCAGCTTATAGATTCGAACCTCGTGCCTTTGGATTGGCTATGCAACTCCTTACCATTAAGCCACCAGAGCTCTCTCGCAATCTCTAGGCACAACTATATAATTATTTAATTATTTATTCCATGGAGAATTGGGAAAAAAAAAATAAAGGTTTCAATTTTAAGAATGTACAAGGGTGTCTATATTTATAAAAGTAATAAGATTTCTGACTTCAAAATTTACGTATTCAAAAACACTTGTTTTTAAAAACAAGCTTCTAGTCAAAAAAGTCTCAAGCAGTTACAAATAGCTCTTGGGAGTGCACATGACATAAGCAGCGCAAATGGTAGCCACTTAAGGTACGCGTGCTTCATGAAACGGGAAAAATCTCGGCTGCCAAAATAAAAAGCTCCAAATGAGTGCCAATCCAGAGGATATCGGCGACAAACGTAGAGACAATCGTGCCGGGCTGGGCACTAAGTGTGGGCAGAGTTCTCGGGTTTCCCTCTTTCCTCTGCGGTCCAGGCCATTTCAACACCCCCCAACGTTAACTTTATAAAAATGGCCTGAGGAAGGAACAAGAGTTCAGACTTTCAGACGCAGCCCCAAAACTAGTGTCTTTTAAGTAAAAACCATCTCTCCTTCAACGTCCTTTCCCTTTTCTCTGTCTACTCTACAAGTGTCAAAACGAAGTCTCAATCAGGGCCATGAAATCGCCGAAATATCATCAGATCCAGGCTTAAAAATCGGAGTTTATCACACTCGTGACACACAGTGACCAAGTCTCCGGAGTCCGGAACTGGCGGAGTCTCGGGTCAGCCAACCTGCAGGGAGGAGGCTGCCCCGGCCAAGCGGACAGAGGCGCTACCTTGGCCGGGGAGGCGGCGGCGAGCCTCCGCAGGGGCGGGGTCCGAGCGGCCATCCAGGGCGCCCAGAGGCGGTCCAGAAACGCAGGCAAGGGCTCCGACATGGCTGGGAGAGCGCACCGCCGCCTGCAGGTGCCGGGCCTCGCCGAGACCGGGGAAGCCGCGGCGCCGCCCGCTCCTGACCGGTGCCAGGGTGGCCCACAGGCCTCACCCAACTCCCTGGCCAGTCCGCCCGCTCCCAGACGCCCCTCCAGCCACGCCGGGCCCGCCGTTGGACGTCCCGCCGCGAGCCCGGGGGGCGAGGACGCGATGCGAGCGCGCGGGCCGCCGCGCACTCACCATTGTCGGCGCCGCCAAAGCCGCGTCCCCGCCACTTCACTCCTCTTGCCTCGGGAGAACTCCCAGACCCGGCTCCCTCCGCCCCGTCCCCGTCACGTGACCTCGGGCCGCCAGCCGCACGTGACCCCTCCCTTCCTCTCCTCCCCTCCCCCTGCACTGCCCCCACCCCCTCGCGGCCTCTCGCCCCGCCCCGCGAGTCTTGGCGCATCTCTCGGCGGAGAAGCAGTTGGGGGCGTGGCCTGTTGCTCCGCCCTCTGGGAGGTGGGTCTACAGCGTTTACGTCAAATTGGAGAGATTTGGGCAGACGTGGGTTTCCCTGGTCCTCGCGCTCTTGTGTCACGTGATGGGCGTTGCGACGATCCCTGTTGCTACAGCCTCGTTTACTTCCTTGTGGAAGTTTGAGCAGCTGGAAGGAAGGTTTGTAGAGGAATCACTCTTTGGGGGTGGGGTACTAGGTGGTGGAGGAGAATGGGAGTACCCGAGACTCTGTTTCCCCGAGCCTCTTAGTGAGGCGTACTCTCTTCCTCCAGAGAGGAGGCGTTCTTTACCCACCCTGTCTGCTTTCCTGAGAGCTACTGTGTCTGGAAAATGCTAGTACTGTGATTTATTGCCTCTGAAAAGGTCAATAGAAAAACCTCAAGATTGTGCCATTGGTTCCTAAAGGCTCCAGCTCTGTAGAGGAATAGAAGACACTTCAAATGTAGCTCCATGCCCCAAAGTAACGTAACCTATGAGAGACAAAGTGCCGGAAAACTGTTAAATACTGGTCTTCGTAGAGTCCTAAATCATTGTAGTAAAGGACCTCAAAAAATACCCCCGAAATACTTAAAAACTCAAAACCTAATGTAGAACCGCAATGATACACTCTCCACACAACCAAAGCAGGAAAAATAATGTTCTAAATGGACTACCATTCTATGATCAAAACAAGTAAAATCAAGTTTGTGCCATAAAACATGTCTCATATTTGAGGATTGAAATCAGTATGTTCTCTAACCCTGTTGTTCTTGTTACGTTGCTGCCGTTGGCTCAACTTGCTCTGAAGACAGCCCGGTCCTGAGCCAGTCTCGCTGACTCAGACACACCTTTAACCCAGTCATTGTATCAATCCATCTCATCAAGGGTCACCTCTCCTGCTCCCTCTCCAAGGACTGGTCCCTCCTTGCAACATGTCCAAAGTATGTCAGACAAAGCCTCAGAATCCTTGCCTCCAAGGAGCAGCATGGTTTAACCCTCTCTGAACCTGTTCATTCTCTTAGCAGTCCATGGTATATTCAATACTTTTCTCCAACATCACAGCTCAAAGGCATCAATTCTTCTTCTGTCATCCCTAGTCATTGTCCAGCTCTCTGATGCATAGCAAATAATTGCAAAGGCCATGGCCTGTACCAGGCACACCTTAGTCTCCAGAGTGACATAATTGCTCTTCAGTACCTTTATTCTCTAACAGCAGACTTTCCCATTGCAATACGTCTTTTGATTTTCTGGTTGCTGGTTCCAAGAGTGTTGCTTGTGGAGCCAAGCAAACTAAAGCTGTGAACAATCTCAAGCTCTTCATCTGTCATGATGCTGCCAATCAGCCCAGTGGTGAGAATTTTTATTTTCTTGGTTTTGAACCTCAATCCATATTGAAGGCTGCAATCCTTGACCTTCTGCACCAAGCGCTTCAGGTCCTCCTCAGTTTCAGCAAGCAGGGTTGTGTCATCTGCATAACGGAGATTATTGATGAATCTTCCTCCAGTTCTCATGCTACATTTCTCCTCATACAGCCCAGCCTCCCAGATAATCTGTTCTGCAAATAGATGGAAAAGGTATGGAGATAGGATACATCCATGGCATATAACCCTTCCCAATTTTGAACCATGCAGTGTTTCCTTGCTCTGTTCTGATGACTGTCTCCTGGCCCAAGTATAAGTTTTGTGTTAGCACAATCAAGTGTTCTGGGATTCCTATTCTTCTCAGAGTCTGCCAGTTTGTTGTGATCCACACAACCAAATGCTTTTGCATAATCAATGAAACATAGATAGACATTTCTCTGGTTCTGCCTGCTTTCAGCCAAGATCTGTCTAACATCAGCTACAGTATCCCTAGTACCACAACCCCTTCTAAACCCAGCCTGCACCTCCAGCAGTTCTCTATTGATGTGCTGTTGCAGTCATTTTTTTATAATCTTAAGCAGAATCTTGCTTGCATGTGATATTAATGATATTGTTCGATAATTTCCACTCTGTTGGATCACTTTTCTTTGGAATGGGAACAAATATAGATCTCTTCCAGTCAGTCGGCCAAGTGGTTGTCATCCAGATTTCTTGACACAACTTGGTGAGCACATTTAGGGCAGCATCAGAATCTGTTAGTTGAAATATGTCATTTGGTTTAACATCAATTCCTGGGTCCTTATTTTTTGCCAATTCTTTCAAAGCAGCTTAAACTTCTTCCCTTCATTACCATAGGCTCTTGCTCATTTACCTCCAAGGAGCAGCCTGGTTTCAACTTCTCTAGGGCAGACCTTTTCTCTTAGCAGTACGGAGTCTTCAGTATTCTTCTCCAGCACCACAACTCAAAGGCATCAATTCTTCTTCTATCATCCTTGGCCATTGTCTAGCTCTCTGATACATAGAAAACAATTGTGAAGACCATAGCCTAGATCAGGTTCACTTCTCAGTCTCTAGACTGAAACGGTTGCTCTTCAGTACTATTGAGAAGTCCCTGATAGCAGATAATCCCACTGCAATTTCTCTTGATTTTCTGGCAGCTGGTACCAAGAGTGTTGATTGTGGAGTCAAGCAAACTGTTAACAATCTCAGTCTCTTCTCTGTCTATCATGATGCTGCGAATTGGCCCAGTGGTGAGAATCTTTGTTTTCTTGAAGTTGAACTTCAATCCATTTTTAAGTCTGCAGTCTTTGAACTTCTGCAGCAAATGCCTTTGGTCCTCCACGGTTTCAACAAGCAAGATTGTATCATCTGTATAATGCAGTTTGTTGATGAGTCTTTCTCCAAACCTGATACCACATTCCTCCTCATAAAGACCAGCCTCCCAGATGATCTGTTCTGCATTTATATTGAAAACATAGGATACATCCCCGACATAAACCTTTCCTGATTTTAAAACATGCAGTGTTTCCCTACTCTGTTCTGACAACTGCCTCCTGCTCCAAGTATAAGTTTCACGTAAGTACAATCAAGTGTTGTTCTGAGATTCCCATTCTTCTCAAGTTAGCCACAACTTGTGATCCACACAGTCAAATGCCTTTGAATAGTCAATGAAACAGACATTCCTCTGGTAGTCTCTGATTTCAGCTAAGATCTGTTTAACATTGGCTTTAATGTCCCTGGGGCCTCTGCCTCTTCTAAGCCCAGCTTGCACCGCAGTTCTCTGTTGTACTATTCCAGTTGTTTTTTTATAATCTTCAGCAGGGTCTTGCTTGCATGTGATATTAATAATATTGTTTGATAATTGCCACACTCTGTCAGATCATCGTTTTTTGGTAAGGGAGTAATATGGATCTTTTCCAGTCAGTTGGCCAGGTAGTTGTCCTCCAGATTTCTTGGTATAACCTGATGAGCACATCCAGGGCAGCATCTGTTTGCTGAAATATGTCAGTTGTTTTGCCGTCAATTCTTGGGGCCTTGGTTTTTGCCAGTTCTTTCAGAAGAGCTTGAGCTTCCTCCTTCACCATTGCCTCTAGATCATATATTGTTTCATGAAATTCTTCTGTATCAGCCAATTCTTTTTAGTATAGTGACTCTTTGTACTCCTTCCATCTTCTTTTGACGCTCAGGTCATTCAGCACTCTGCCCACAGCATCCTTAAGTATTGAAACTTGAGTTTTGAATATATTCTTCAGTTCTTTCAGCTTAAAAATGCTGATCAAGTTCATCCCTTTTGATTTTCCAACTCCAGCTCTTTGCACAGTCATTATAATGTTTGAAGGAGGAGCAGTTCCAGACACTAGTGATTAGAAGGTTGAATATGAGAAGTATGTATGTAAGAAAATTAGAGACTGTTAAGGAAAAACTGCAATGCATAAATATTGACATACTAGTCATGGGCAAAATGAAATTGATTGGCATCTTGAATCAGATGATCATATGATCTACTATGCTGGAAATGAAAAGGTGAAGAAAAATGGGGTCTCATTCATAGTTAAAAAGACCATTTCTAGATCCATCTTAAAATACAATGTTGTGAGTGACAGGATAATATTCATACACATACAAGGAAGACCTGTTAATACCACTATCACTCAACTTTATCCACCAAGGACCAGAGCCAAAGAGGAGGAAATAGATTAATTGTACCAACTGTTGTAATCAGAAATCAACTGAACATGCAACCAAGATGCATTAGTAATAATGGGTTATTGGCATGCAAAGTTGGGAAGAAGGAAGAAGGATCGGTAGTCAGGAAACATGGGCTTGATGATAGAAATGAGGCTGGAGACATAAAGATAGAATTCTGTTCATATCCTGTGGCCATTTTTCTATTGGATTATTTACTTTTATCTTATTGTGGTGTTTAAGTATTTTATAAATTCCAGATATAAGTCCCTTATCTGACATGTCATTACCAAATATTTTTTCCCAATCTGTGGCTTCCCTTTTTACTCTATTGGAGAAGTTTTTGGATGTGCATAGGGATTTGATTCTTAGAAGGTCCCATTCATCTATTTTATCTTCTCCTGGTTGTAGATTTTCCAGGATACTTGGAAGGCTTTTTATGTTGTGGATTAGGACCACTAAAGTTCTTCCAAGCTTTTCTTGAATGAAGTTTATAGTCCTTGGCTTTAGTCCTGAGTCCATGATCCACCTTGAGTTGTTTTTTTTTTATATGGAATGAGGTGTGGATCTTGTTTGAGTCTTCTACATACAGCTTTCCAATTTTGCCAGCACCATTTGTTAAAAAGGCTGTCATTTCCCCACTTAACTGATTTCACCGAAGAAGACACCGCCAACAAGCACATGAAGAAATGTTCAAAGTCCCTAGCTCTAAGAGAGATGCAAATCAAAACAACTATGAGATATCATCTCACCCCAGTAAGAATAGCA